TTTGCCGTTCATTCATCAACCTGACCAAGTGGCGCCAAAGGCGAGTGACGTGTAAGCAGCTGATTAGCTATAACAACATACGTGAAAAAATACGATTTTTTTTTACGTGAGTTGTTATGGCTTTTCTCAGGGCCGGAAATTCTTGTATAACACCGCGGTTTATGTGATAAAAAGTGTTATAATATGAAGTTTCATTTATATTTTGGTTAATGACCTTCACACATCTCTTATACGTATGATTATTTTTTGTAAATTTATAATCACGATCTTTGGCTGACTTTTTATAATTCTGTTGTCGAATCATTAGTTATATATTACATATTCTGTTATCTTTTTTTATTATTTATATGATCATTCAATTTTTCTTTTGTTATAACAGCATTAAAACATTCCCAAACAAAACGATGAACATAATACGTTTTTTGATATTTACTTCCATATTTACTCACCATGCATCCCAAATAGCCACTTGACCAATCATTACCAATGAGAGGTATTTCTTAACAATATTTATTATTTGCTCATTTTGATTTGCTGATATAAATTATAAAGCGGGTGATTATTATAAACGCATTCATCTATTACAATTTTACTGATTATAATATAGTAATATAATATTTCTTTATATCTTTATCAATGTTTAAAGAAATGTTATGGAAGATGAATATGAAAAATATCATCTCAATTAATTATATAGATATGAATAAATCAGTTCTCAAGAAATTATCCAAATCACAACTTGTCAAGTTGCTTTTAAAGCAGAATGTATAACCAGCTCCTAAAATCATAATTGCAGATGATAAACCAGTTTCTACAACAAGAGCATGAGACCAATCCCAAAACAACGAAAGAGTGATAAACAAATGGTGTAGGAGTATGAAGATAATATCATCCTTCCACCAACTGAATTCAAAGATGGTTACAAACCATCCCAAAACCAAGGAAAAAGAAGGTGATTGTAGATAAACCAGTTCCAACACCAAGAACAAAAATAGGACAAACAAATAAAGCTCTAAAAGGATACACCAAATCGTTTGAGGTCGATAAAAAACAATTAGATGAAATGAAAGGCTTTAAATTTGATGAAATCTTGAGAATGGTATTTAATAAGTTCGATGGGGATGTCACAATCGCTAAAACAGCTTATTTCAAAAGTAAAACCAAGACGGTTATTAATGAAAATGATATTAATCTGGATTTATTAGATTCCAGCCCAGAGATTGAAAACAAGATCCCTGGTTGGATATCTGAAGGTTCTGGTTTGACTATTAATTCAATCGATAATCATTATCTCAACATTATTAAATACTTCCCCCTAACAGGATTGTCTTATATTAAACTACCGTCAGAACTTAGAAATTTCGGTAAAGGATTGATAAACCTCTAAAGTGAAGATGATCAATGTTTTCGATGGTGCCATATCAGACATTTAAATCCACAAGAGAATATCCTCAAAAGATTAAAAAAACTAACAAGCAATATATTGAAAAGTTGGATACCTCAGGCGGTACATTTCCACTATCTGTAAAGCACAACAACACTACTGTAAAAAAAAACCGAACAACATTAATATAAATGTCACGCAAAAGAGTATCAGTTCCAAAAATATTATTAAAATATACATCTAGCTCGAAGCCAACTTATGTGTCATCAAAAATTTTTAATGAGGGTCTAGTAGCTGCTCGTAAGATCAAAGAATCAGTCACTTTAAAAACGCTGGCATATGTATGCATGCGTATTCTTGATCTTTCCTAGACGTTAACGTAAGATTCTCGTTATAATTGTATTATATAGAAGTTTGGTGATAGAGCAAAATTATTATTCACAGACACAGTCTCGCTGACATAAGAAATTAAAACTGAATCAAGATTTTTGGAATGATGAAAATAAATTTGACAATAGCAACTATCCTGAAAATTCCATATTTTGATAAAACAAACAAATCAAAGTGCTCTGTGAGCAAACTCGTGAATTGACAGATGACTTACATGATTTTTTAAATTATGTTTAATGTTATCTGGTTTAGGGCATTTTGTGGTTGATTGTCATGTTTAGAGTACGAGCAGTAGTTCAGTGTTCGCTAATGTAGCAAAGAAACAAAGAAACGTTGGGATTAGAAAGCATTACAATTGAGATTATCATACTATTACATTTGACAAGGGTGGATGATTTCATGTGTTTTAAACATATATAATTTTTGTTTCTGGTTCAAAAGAAAAGGTTGGAAGTAAATGTGGGTGAAAAGTGAAATTTACTGTCTATCATTGTAAATGTTGGAAAATCAAGGCAGTACTGTTTTAATGAAAACATTAATGATTCCCTCTTTATCAAAAAAGACAAAAGGGAGCGAGTTTTGAGTGATATAACCAAGCCTAGACTGCCCCCAAGATAGAATTTCATTTCAGGCCTATTTATCAATTTTGTGGTGTATAACTTTTGCATTTTAATACGTAATATTTATTTTGAATCTTCAAATTGTCTTGAAACTTAAAAGAAAATTATTCTTTAAAAACTCATTGAAAATCGGTAGCCAGAATTATTTGTTTAGGTTTTATTTGATTTTCGTGTTAACCTGTAATTTCGTCAGTCGCCGGCGCCTTTTGTTGCTTCACACAGAAAAAACACACGATACGAAATGTAATGATCAATTTTGTTCCCAATGTCACGCCATAACAGAAAAAGCTTTTGAACGCCTGTAGGCTCTGAGCGCTTCGGAGTAAGTAATATTTTTAATGAATCTTCGGATTGTTTTCAAGTTCAAGGATTGTAAATTACAATTTTATGAAAAACGAAGGTTGTTCTCTTATTTCAGTGTGAATTCTCGCACGCCTGCCAGTCGCTGGCGCCGCTTGTTGAAACTAAAACGAAAAAAATAAACTCTTTTAAGATCATCATTGGCTTCTTTTCCACCCCACCACTACTCTTAGCAACAAAGGTCGCCATTTCGTTTGTTTATTACTCGCCAAAAACTATCAAATGCACTCAAAAGCCTAAAATCGAAAAAAAGTTTACAATCGAGGGAGCGAGCGAGCGAGTGCCTTTCTCCACATCATATCTACAACTCGCTCTTGCGCATGCACGCAATTCACAAGTTAAAAAGTTATAGGCAAGTTCAAAGACGATACTTCTAGTATAGCAATTACTCATTTCGACGGCTTTAGATCAAAAATGTACTCTTGTAAAAAAGATAGCAGCTAAAGGAAGAAAAAAATCGTCATAAAAAAGACAGTTAAAATTTATTATTCAATGACAAACAAATGCATCATAAAATGAAAACCATTACGAGCAACAATCATCAACTTGGAAGTTATGTACTAAAAAATTGTCATTCAGCTGCTTTGATGATAAGCGATATATTCGTGAAGATAGTATAAGATCTTATGCTTGTGGACATTACAAAATACAAAACTAAAATAAGAAAAACAATAATGTTACCCTAAAGCTGTGGAAAAATGACAACTTCCGCAAACACCGTCCATTTCGTAAACTCTCCAATGATGAAGAGATTTGGATGGGTTTCGGCATCTTCAGTCTGAAGACAAACTTAATTGACAAACTTAATTGACAAACTCTACGGACAAACTTTATCGACAAACTTTACTGGTAACCTTTAATTTCTTTAAAAATCAGCTTTTCATCAGCATCTCACGCTGACCCGTAATGAGTGCAACCCCCCTGGTTTCATACACTGCGCCGAACTTTTATTTCAAATTGCCTTAACTACATTGGACTTTTTTCTGTTGTCACGCAAAAAAGGATTCGCCACTTTGCTTAGCGTTATTGTAATAACATAGATATTAAGTTTTTTTTTCATCTTTTAAAATAGGTAATAGGTTTGGTATGAAAGACATTATCCCTCGTGGGCTCCCTACGTGTTAGGTTCACAAGTTTTTATATGTGAGCTGTAATGCCCTCTATTTCGGCCAAACCTCTCAGCATTTATCCGCACGTGAGCACTTGGTCAGTGACCTCTCACAGTTTCAGACATTTACCAAATTTTCAGCAATGTTGCACTCTCTGTTCTGATGAGTGTTTTAGCATCTTAGATCACGCTCCACAACTTCCCCACTTAAAATCAAAGAAACTATCCACATTTAATGGGAGCAACCTACACTCAATCATCAAATTTATAAGGTTAATTTAAAACTTTGTTGTTCGTGCATAAATCGTTTTGTTTCTATTGTTTGTTTTGTCCAATGAGCATTTTGTTATACACTAAAGATTGTTTAAATAAGAACCAAGGATGACAGAAGAATTGTCGAAACATGTTTTTAAAATATTTTCTTATTTTCTATATTTTCTTAAATTCTTTTAATGTAAATTTGTAAAGATTACATGATCTCACGAGACTTTCACATGACCTGAGAACAATAGCAATCTGGTGACCCATTTCCTCGGGAAAGGACCTGTGTCATTACATCATTGACTTTCCTGTTTTCTGGGAATGTCATGCAAGGGAAAAATGATGTGAGATGTAGCGCTAGTCTCCAATGGTATTCCAACACTTTGATATTATGAAATGATTCCATCATATGACTCCATTAAATAATTCCATCAAATGATTTCGTTATATAATTTCATCAAATGATTTCGTTTAATAATTTCCATAATATGGAAAGTAGTATAGAGAGTTGGCGTTTTTTACACGAAACTTGGTGATCTCGTATTGCCAATTCCTATACTACTGAGGAACGCGCGTGCTCAAACAGGTCACGAGAATATAACACGTATGATGTATTTCACGGATTTTTGTGAATTAAAAATCACCACTACCAGACAAAAATCATTACCCTTTGCATCACTAGTAGATTGATAATCACTGGGAAAAGTCGGCAGTGAAGAAGTCTTGCAATAAATGTTCACAACTGTTCTTAATTGTTCTTCTCATTTGCAATCAGTGACGAATCATTAACACATAGTGACTGGGTTATACAAATGTTTTATCTAATTTCCGTCATGAACTTTCGACACGTCCAGGCAAGACATTACATTACATAGACATTTTGTCCAGGCAGGACAGACGTTTTAAATCTCTGTTACAAGTTTCTTATCAAACTCTATCGAGTGAGTTTATGTGAAATCTGTTGTATGAAATTCTGCACTGTTTTAACTCAGTTGGTCAATTTAAATACTTTGCAAAACTTTTTACTTGTTTTTCCTCTTATTTTAGGGTTTCAGAAGCAGTGACGTTGTCGACGCCAGCTTCTTTTTCGTCCGTCGTTAACGTTTCACAATTATCTGAGCGAAGACTGCATTAATTGATGAAGTTTCAATACTAAATTCAGGTATGTCAAAGTAGCCGATTCAACAGAAGTTCGTGTGGAAAAAACATGAAATCAAGGTTGACGTAATTTTTCATACGCATTAGATTTTTGTTCTATTCATTTATTTATTTATTTATTTTTGGAAAAGGAAATCTGTGAAAAAAAATAATCCACGAAAGCCTCGAGCTCTGGTCTTGTCTCGTTACTTATTTTTGTATTAAAGTTCGGATATAACGTGCGCTGTAATTGGTTTGAAGAGCGTGCTCTATCAGAGTACAAAGCATAGAGAGCTGAGCTAAAGCTGTCACGCCATCTGCCAAATTGTACTTTGTCCGACCTTTTCGGGGACCTCTCTTTAACTTTTTTTCGTCGATTGAAAGTGAAATTTCGGAACAAGCGAGCCGGCAAGTAGCAAGGGAAGAACTGAAAAAAGGTTCGAGCAGAGAAAGCAGATACGAAAATCCTCAAAGAGAAAAGGAAATGGACATGCCGAAGGTTTTCACGCTCAGTTAGATTGCCAGGTTGCGTCGGGTAATAAAACTCAAACAGAGCTAACACTCGTTTAGTCTAGATAGTATTGTGGTCAAGAACAAAACGGAACAAAGCGAGAAAGATGAAAAACATAATCAAACTGGCAAATCTTTTGAAATTCATACTAATCATGAGTTGGGTTTTGTTTGACAGCGGCAGGGTTTTGTTTGTTTCTTTAATTTGATTGTGCACTGGATCATTCATTGCTTGCTTATACTCATCTACTGGTAAACATTAACAGTAGCGCCACATTTTTGTCTCTCTGAGGCGCATTGTAGCAAAGATCTTGCGCTGGCACTCTTCCGCTTTAATCGCGCTGACAGACTCTACATTAAGAAAATAATCATCTGAATCGTCGGACAATTCGTCTACTCCGTGAACTTGTTTGCTTTTTGCAGGCTTTCTGCACACCTACGATCCCGGGAAGTGGTTTACGGAGAACCACAATCTTAACGGTGTTTCGGCCAAGCTACACATAACTCTCACTTTCTTGCGTGAATCTTTAGGCAGAACTTGCATTTGATATGAGCATTTGATATGAGGATCCGAGTCGCGCTGTCCCGAGCCGGAGCCTTTATTACGTGGGACTTTGCTTCGCCACGAGCTGTCAGTGTTACTTCGCCAGTGTTACTTCGCTGAGGGCTTCGCGACGTATTAACAGCACTCATTTAATCACGTGCTCTTTCTTTAAATTGCTTCGATGTTTCATTTGTTCGACAAATATTGATGCATTTATCTAGAGTCAATTTGGGCTCAGCAATCAGTTTATTTCGGGTTATTAATCCTAGGACTATGCAATCTCTCAAGAGATTATCTGTCAGTTCTCCGTAGCTATTTGTCTTCGCCGAAGAGCGTGGCGAGGTCGAATAGATATCAAATGACTCACCTCGTTGTTGGTCACGTTTATTGAACACATACCGTTCGTACGTTTCGTTCGTCTCCCCTTCACAGTATTCTTCTGGCAGCTGCAGTACTACATCGATATCTTCTTACTCTTCTTCAGTCGCAAACGTCCAATACATCAGGCTCGATACACGTTAGCAACGCGGCTACTCGGAGTTGTTTGCTTTGTGTATTTAGTCTAAAAGCTGTCTCATAATTTACCCATAGGCGTTTGAACTTTTTCCAGTTGGCTTGTGATACTCTCCAAAGGTATCTTAACTCGAAATAGAAATAATCAGATGTGAATTCGCTTCAGCCTTTGGATCGGCAATCAGCAAATAGAATATGAGAATAATTCACTATTGCTCAGGTCAAATTTCTTATCAATCGTTACATTCCAGAATTAAATTACGGTTTTAATCACTTCTCCCAAAAATTTTATATGATGCGCAGTTCGTCATCATTATCCGTGTTTAAATATCCTCTTCAAGCACGCAATAAAAACGCACTCAGAGAATTAAAATGAAGAGGAGAATCATTTGTGTTCCTCTGCAAAGTCGAAAAGAAACTTTATGTACAATTGATACGCATAACCTTGAAACGCCAGTTTAAATAGATTGTTTTAGTTTAAACTCTCTGGGAAACGGAACTACTTCTTTAAGACTTGCAAAAACATAAACAATGTCAAAGCATACTTTCCCTTTCCAGACTTTTTTTTTTGTACACGGTAAAATTAAGCGACACTTAATATTTACCCTGAGTTTTTTCAGCTGAGTTTCGCTTAGAACTCGCCGATTTCTTAAAAAGTTCATATTTGTTCTTACATGGACAGTGTCTCCTATACTGATCTTTTTTGTTGTTGTTGTTCACGGTAAAATTAAGCGACACTGATATTTACCCTGAGTTTTTTCAGCTGAGTTTCGCTTAGGACTCGCAGAGTTCTTAAAAAGTTCATATTTGTTCTTACATGGACAGTGTCTCCTACACTGATCCATGAGTCTGCAAAATTCTCAAGTTCAATGAGGCAAATACCAACAAAGTCTCGAAAGTCAGTTGATCGCTATCATGCGAACCTTTCAGAGGACGCAACCATTTGACCAGATATGCCTCAAAGTTCGCTCGAAAGACATCGTTCGCAAGCTAATTTCAGTGAATATGTGAATACGTTCAGAAGTACCGTCAATACCTATTTAAGCGATATATTCGGCCCGTGGCTCTTGCTTGACTAAAAACACGTGTATGGAGCCCGTCAACGCTTTTGTAGAGGAAATCGTCTGTAGTTTAAACTCTGATTATTGGCTATTCCAAAGTACGAGTTCAGCACGAATTCGTTTTTAATTTTCCAGGAAAATAAAACTAATTTTATCAGAAAGTAATGTAGGTCTTAAAGGGCCACTCTCCACCAGGATAATGCAGTGGTGTGCGAAGACTGCTTTAAATGATGAAGTTTAGATATTCAATTCAGATATGTCAAAGTAGCCACGACTCAACAAAAATTCGTGTTGAGAAAACATGAAAACATGAAATCAAGCTTAACGTCATTTCTCTTATCAGTAGTTTTTCTCTTATTTTTTTGCGCAGAGCTACTAGTGCAGTTTGAATTAGATAAACACGTTTAATTCAGCTTTTAAGGACCTTTATTTAACTACGTGTTACACAAAATAATTGATTGAAAATCTGGCTTTTGCAATAAGAAGTGTAGTTCTTCTCGATCTTCAAAGGATTTTACGGGGAAATGATTTAGCGCGATTTAATAAAATTTTAAGTTGGATAAAATTCGCCGATTCGACATTGCCGTCAATTAGCCAAAAATTTACACGTACATACGCAAACTCAACTGTTTTACATTTTACGTCCAATCTACAGCTTCTTTAACATAATATCTCCTCACCTTCCATGTTGCTCTTTTAAAGAAGAAATTGTTGTAACGTTCACATTAAAGCAAAATAACTCGGCAGGATAGTCAATGCTTTCTGAAAAAAGCGTATTTCAGGGGTTTTTGATTTGAGGTTTCTCTATTCCTATTTCGTTGAAAAGGAATAAGAGATCTTTGCTTAAATATTTGTTTTCAAACGAACGGCGTATCAATGTCAGCGGAATGTTGCTAGTCTTGAGCATGCGGATTAACGCTAATTAATTCAAAATGAGGTCTACCGAAAGTGACCACTCCGTAAAAATAGGAACAAGACTTTTGCACTACGTTTGCAACGCCTTTGTCCTCACTTTCACATTTAAGCGACAACTTGTGCGGCTCGTTACTTTTTCGCTGCCTTCTAAAGCATAAGCCTTATAAAATTTTTTTCCCGCGGCCCCTTGATCGTTTATTACGTAAACGTCGTGAATATAACTTACGGTGAAAACCTTATATCCCTTAGACCCGACGTCCTTTTTTCCGCAGCCTTCCAGGTGCTTTTGAATTTTTCGGTAGTAAACTTCGGAAGAAAACTCAAATTTTTCGTCGAAACCAAGCGATTTTCATCACTGGATACTAGCGTCATTTTGAACGCCATATTTGTTTACCCATCAGAGCGCGAAGAGGGTTGATTGGGAATATAACATTCGGTTAAAAACTTATATCCGTTAGATCAGATGTCCCTTTTTCTGCAGCCCTCCAGGTGCTTTTGAATTTTGAATCGGTGGTAAACTTCGGAGGAATTTTCGGTAATAAACTTCGGAAGAATTTCCGGTAATAAACTTCGGAAGAACTTTCGGTAGTAAACTTCGGAAGGAAACTCAAATTTTTCGTCCAAACTTAGCGATTTTCATCACCGAAGATACTAGCGCCAATTTGGAACGCCATATTCGATACGCAACAGACCACGCGACCAGAGCCATTGCGAACAACGCTTCTTCGAGAACTGAATTTAGCTCTGGTCAAGAATATATTTTGGCCATGAATTCCACCCGCTGTAAGTTGTGCAGGAAGAGTTCCATTCGACTGGAGAGGAAAGATAGAAAACACATCATCGACAAGCATTTCCACCTTACAAATGTTGATGGGATTTCTTCATTTTATCGAGATATTTCTTTACGGATGGTCTTCGAAACATTCAAAGCCAAGCTTAGGGATGGCATTCTGGAGGAAGGAGATCATCATCCATCGAGAAATATGATTTATTACTGCCCCTTTGATTTTGTAGTGGGCTCCTCTCCAACTCGACGTGGACGACGTAGGACTCGTTATGTGAGAGTGGCCTGCACCCGCTCAATATGTCCTTATTGTGATCATAATGTGATCAAGGTAAAAACGATTTTTCCAGATGGACAGCGCAAACCGATCTCTCATTGAGAACGAAACTTATGGAGCGAAAATCCAAGTCTCCGGCAAAAATATATGAAGAACGATCTATTATTATTAATAGTAGTCATGAAGTGGAAAAGCAGTCAGAATGAGTACAACTAGTTACTAGTACGAGTACAAATAGTTTCCCTAATCTTAAGGGTCGAATGGATGTAATTTTTGATTATAAAACGTACATGCATTGGTCTTCTTCATATGAATTTGACGTTCCTATTAGGATTTGTTACTCAGCAATGCGGGAGATGCTCTCCATGAAGCAAATGTAGGAATCATCCACAACATAACAGTTTAGCAAAAAGCTGCGAAGATCAGTTAAATCTGAGCAGTTTTTGAATGCGTTTTTCTCACACTGTTTGAAAGATACAATATGGTGTGATCATTAACTTAACTGATAGCTTCTCAAAATATATATTTCCATATCTCCTTTGTTCCAAATGAAGCTTTCCTGACAATGTTGGAAAGTACACATTCTGGAAATAAAGAACAAAATCATGTTCTGCAAGTCCACCAGTCTTTACGTAAACTGATCCTATGAAGGAGGGGTTGGAGAGAAAAGTACTTTTGAAAATGGACAACTGAGAATAATCATACTAAAACTTTCGGCACAAAAAGACGGATAGATTTCTAACTGAATCAGAGTACCGTAGTATAAGTGACATGTTTCATCTCGACGTATTCCGAAGACATTTTGCAAAACTTGCACAGTCAAAAATACTTCTAAGAGAACTGACTTGTAACAGAAAATATGATTATGTCATTTCTTCAAATGAAGTATGTAAACCAATTCCAGTAACATTTTCTAAATTCGGTTGGGCAAAGATTCGTACAGAAAAACTTCCCATTCAAGATATTATGATAAAGTTATGTAAAAAAAATACATTTCTAGGCGAGTAAGGAGACTTGTTTCAACTCTCTCCCAATTGCTTCACTTCTGAAAGCCACTGCAACTGATTAGTATCCTTCTTTGAGGGATTCCTAAGTGGAAAAGAAGGGTGACGAGGCTTCCTTTGAAGTCTAAATAATTAGGTTTCAAAGACTTGTTTTGTCTCGCTAAGCTTTAGCTAGAAAATTTTTACTGAAAGCAGACTCAGTTAATTTGCACGATGACGGCTGATCGAGAGAAAACGATTGCTGATGGGTGGTATTCCCACATAAAGTTTCAAATCTTTCAAATCACTGTGGGGCTACTTCTGAATCCAGGCAGTGTATTACCATCTTCGATTCCCAAAGGCTGAAAACTGAAGCAGATTCCATAACAATACTGTAAAGCAACGTGACAATCTAAAAGTCTAATTTTCTTCTACATTTCATTATTTTTTAAAATTGTGTATAATATGTAACCATTGTTATCATGCCCGAGTCTTTACTTGTACGAGTGGTTTACTGGGCTTGTAAGAGACCACTTGGAGTGTTGTCTTTGCGGGAAGTGGTTGAATGCTCTTTTTTTGATGTAGTTTGATTGTTTGTATGTGATTTTTTGCAGTAACCTGCAAAAGAATTAAGCGTGAAGATGTTGCATAGGGGAATCAAATCTCATGGTGAGATTTTCCCTTGCCAGTGTATGGGGCCATGAGATTAGCAAGGAGTGAGGGAGTCTTGTTTCATTTTTTAAGAATCAGGTAGTACTTAGCGTTTTAATTTTTCTTTCATATTCAAAAATATATATAAATCTAATATATAAATCTACTATGATTATATTTGCACAAACAAGCTCGATATGTTGCAAGATTGACAGTCAAGTTCATGCATTGATAGGGCTCAGTTAGTGGTTAGGGTTAGGGGCATACCCCGCCATCAAGCCAGACTTGCCGATAAAAATGCGGAGCGCTTAACGTCAAGGGTAGTGTCCTGCATGCAGCCCAGCCACTAACCCATCCAAGGATGGGTTTTAAATGGCTCTGTGTGGAAAGCTCTAGGGGGTGGGGAGGGTATGTTATGGGACCCCTTGTCTAACTGACAGTTTTCTTTGAGGCTGGATTGGGCTTGTGGTTGAGTGTCAAAAGCATGCCTTTGAGGGAGAGGGGGCTTCATTGACATTGCAAAAACCTGATGTCCAGGTTTTCACCTTAAGGCGGGCATCGCCATACTGACTCTGCCTACGCTTTAAATGAAAAGTCGTTTCGTTACTGCATTACTCATTTAGCTAACTGAATAGAAAATTGGTGAAAGATTTGACAGATTACACTGATGTGTCGTCGGTGTCGATGATTATTTGACGTTTGCCAGTAAACGCGGATAATTCTATTACTGTAAATAGAATAATTACTATTGGTCAGTTGGTTGCAGCAAATCGATAAAAACAGCTTGTTAAGATTGGTCTGATGAAGGTAGAAATTCTCTCAACGAAGCATGAGGATGGAGTATGCATTCAAGTAAGGAGAAATTGTAGGGAATGTCACAGGCGTTTCAAGGGTTGATAGGATGGGGTTTGCAATATTCCTAAATTATTGTCGAGACTCACTAAAATCAGGGGGGTACTCAAGACAGTTAAACGGCGGCTATGGAAATTTGTGCAGTCATCTTTTTGTATTATCTCGCCATTGATGCTGATACTAATAAGAAAAAGAAAGTTTGCAAACAAATAATGGGCAAGTTTTCAGATCTTGAGGACTTGATAAAAAAGAAATAGGACTGCTGTACAGTGGGTAAGGTTTAGAAGATTGTTTCTATCGTTTACATTAAATTTTCGTCATGGCTTTCAGGTTGTCCGAAGGTTTGGAATTTCGGTTGGATAAAAATTGATCGCTAAAATAATAGTTTGGAATATCTGCATTTATCTACTTTTTATCACAACTCAATCTCTCTTCTGAAATACAACAATCTTTTCCAGAACACAGCGAAATTTTCTGTTACACAAAAGCAAGCTGAAACAAACCAAAATTAAGTGAAACACAATAAAATTACTAAAGTACTTACTAAGCCTGACGCTGAAAGCGACCGGAGCCTGGGACTAGCTCTGGTTACATACTGTTAATTAAGGCGCCATATTTGTACCGTTCATGCAGAGGAATTGAGATAAATTGGCTTCTTCTAGGTCAGTAAGCGATCATCCAGAAGAAGAAAGCATAATTTCATACTAGTTTTGAAAAGGATATACGTATTAAGGTATCACTGAATTTTTAGCCAAGTGTCAAGGCATCACGACGTGTGTACGAACATTGAAAAATACAGGTTGTAGGTTGAAGCATTTTAACTTTAAGGAGAAGATTGCAATATTTTGACATGGACGTTGGAGAGGAACAAATCGTGAATGAGCTAAGTGGCCCAGGATCTCCAATACGTGGTTGTATTGATGGATGGAGTTGAAAATAATGTGGCTAACAGTCGCAAGGTTGAACAACCATTCAGATATTATTTTCAATTTTTATTTGAATTGTGTTGCAGGGTTAGAAGGCTGTCCAGTGAAACTGGGGACTGACTGTGGAACAGAAAATGGTGTAATGGCAGCTATGCAATGTACATTTCCGCAAGATGCAGAAGCACGCAAGTATGGGTCATCTCTGGTGAACCAAAGGATTGAGGGCTGGTGGGTATTTTGCAGAAGAAACAGTAGTTTTGAAGCAAGTAGGAAGCCACTAGAGCATGAAAGAAGTGCTTGAGTGCTTAAGCTGCCTCTCAAGGTCTTTTGCAACAGAGCAGAACACTGTCAAGGCTTCTCTATTTGTTTTATAATAAAGAATCCATTTACCCTTTAACTTCGCTGAGTGACCAAGACAGCATTTCTCCTTACAAGGTCAGCACAATATCAACCAGACTAGTGATGAGAATAAAAAATAACTATCAAGCTGGGGATAATTAGTTGATCCAGTAATAAATTCTCTGAACTAACATTATAAGAATTGTATGGTTGACTATAAGAAGAAGTACAAATTTGGTCTGGGAGTTAAAGGGTTAAATTCCCCATTCATTACTTTCAATTTTGAAAACATACTTTACGTGATAAAATGATTATGACTGGTCCTTAAAGGGGACATAGTTTTTTTTTTTTAGTTTTCGATACTAAATTTGTCTTCCCTCTAATTTTGCCAACTCCTGTTTGTTTCATGTGCCTCTTTTAAGTCAGTTTTTGTTTTATTTTGGAGGAGATCACAATAAGCCATCCTAGATATAATGCAGTTGGTCAAAATGCTTTCCTAGTGTTAATACAGTGAAGATATTGTGACACTTTATATTGACACGCTATACGGCACTTTTTATAAACAAGGATGTCCTCTGAGATCTTCTGAAGTTCATGGCTTAGCCTTTTGTGACTTTGAGACAAGAGTAACTCTTAAATGTAGTGCACATTTTGATTGAGTATTCAAAGTAATCACAAAAGACAATCACAGTGACTAAATCATAACTCTAAATGAAAACACAAACAAAGCCTACTTTTCAAAGAGCAGGAAGGCTTGAGTGATTAACCTTTTACACCCTAACTTCATAATGTACATTCTCCATATTGTTCTCCATAATTATACAAGAATAATTCGTTTGACAATTGAGAGCTTCTTCAGTTTGTTATTATTTCCTTTAACCTCGTGATCTTACTGTTTGATTCAGGGTTGATAGTGTAGGGAGAAATTAGATGCTGGTCAGCTCTAAGTGGTTAAAGGGTTGTCACCATTGGGTTAAGTATAGCATCTGACAGGGTGAGAGATTGGTGTGAGTTTGCTGGACCACTTAAAGACCAAAGTGAAGTGATACCAATACAGTGGATACTAAGTTTAGAATTTCCTTATCTCACAGGACACCATGTGTTGCCTGACATTCCAAATGACTACTGCACAGGAGTCAACAGACAGGACACACTGATGCTCTCTTCTCAGTGGCAGCCCAAGGAAGGCCTATACCCTGACATTAGGCAATGAAGATCTGTACTGTTCTATGAATAGGGAAGAGTTTGGAGACTGCATTGGTGGAGGATGGATGTTGGTCATGAAGATTGATGGCAAACAGGTAATGAAAACACAATGAGGGCTTCAAAATACTACTAATTAATAGGGTGTTCTCTCTTTATTGCCTAGGAAGGGGGGTGGGATGGTTTTGGTTGTGTCAAATAAAATTTGCCTGATTCTCTTTCCCCCCCTCCCCCAAGGGCTCTGTAATATTGTAATAACCCACCCCAGGGCTCTGTAATATTGTAATAACCTCCCCCCCCATTGGCTGTCATTTTTCTAGAGTTTCCCCTTTCTACTATGTTATACTCTGAACCCCTTTCTGTTACCACTGAAAACTGTGTGATTCTCCCCAAAATCTTCTGACACCCCCATCCCCAAGGAGATAAATAATGAGTGGTTCCTTATGGGGTGCTGTTTTTTAAGTTTTTGATATTCTTTCTAAATTTGCCCACTCCTGGGATGGATGGTTTATTTGGACCCAACATATCGACCAGCTCCCAGTTGGCTTGTTAGCTCAGTTGGAAGAGCACTGCACTAGTATTGCAGAGGTTATAGGTTCAAATCCCGTACGGGCCTGAATTTTTTTCCAGGTCTTATTTTCAACTACTAGTTCAGTAGTGTTCTTAGCTGTGAGGATCTCTTAAATTCATTTCTTCACCACAGTGCAAATATGTGAATTTCATATATCTAAAATCATTATTGCCCACTCCTGTTTGTTTCACAGTGCTTCTTTTGAGTCAGTTTTTGTTCCAGAAGAGATCACATTAAGCAATCCTAGCTAGATATGCTGCAGTTAGTCAAAATGCTTTCCTAGTCTCAATGCAGTAAAGATATTGTGGCACTTTATGTGGCACTTTTTATAAACAAGAATGTCTTCTGAAATTTATTTTAAGTTTATGGCTCAGCCTTTTGTGACATAGAGATGAGAGTGACTCCTAAATGTAGCATGCATTTCGATTGAGTATTTAAAGTAATCACAATTGAGGACAATCACGATGACTAAGTAATAACTCTAAATGAAAACAAAAAGAAAGCCCACTTTTCAAAGAGCAGGAAGGCTTGAGTGATTAACCTTCTACACCCAAACATCATAATGTACATTCTCCATACTGTTCTATATATACAAGAATGATTTGTTTGGCAATTGAGAGCTTCTTCAGTTGGTGATCATTTCCTTTACCCTTGTGACCTTCCTGTTGAGATTCATGGTTGATAGTGTAGGGAGAAATAAGATGCTGGTCAGCTCTCAGTGGTTAAAGGGTTGTCACCATTGGGTTAATTAAGTGTAGCATCTGACCAGGTGAGAAATTGGCAAGTTTGCTGAACCACTGATAGAGCAAAGTAAAGTGATACCAATGCAATGGATACTAAGTTGAAAATTTCCTTATCTCACAGGACACCTTCAGTCACAATTCAAACATGTGGTCTTCCAGGTCTTCAGTCTCTCCTGAAAATGGAGTCACAAGATTGGATCACTTAGAGACCCTGTAACCAACCTACTGGAGCACATCCTTTACCAAAATCTGCCTAACCATGAAGATTGATAGACAAGGAAACTGTGAATAAGTCGCGGACACTTAAACATCCAAATGGGTTTTGAAGATAATGAAATTCCTCTTTATAAAAAAGATACACTTTTACATGTTAACATAGGCAGCCGATGGGTAACTCTTGGATAGAGTTGATTGCTGGGGTGATGTTGGGTGAATAGTCAGAATTCACATTTTGGCTATCATTTGACCTGCATCATTCCTTTACCTTCACTTTTGCCATAAAAGTGTACACTTTTTATGGCAGATTTTTAAGGTAACATTTGTATGAATGTGCTGCAGGTTGTGAATAAGTTACACACTCCATTCCTCCTCGTTCTTTTTGAATAATATTCCATTGGCTTGCAGTTGAATCCTCACAAAATTGCAAATGAATGACTGGCTGGTTGGCTATCAGTTTACAGGGTCCTTTTAAATAAGATCTGACTTTTGTTGCTAAGTCATATTCTCAATTTCACAGTCAGTGTAGTCTTTCTTTTCTACAAGCCTGCTTAATTTTTTCAAGAGATGTGACCATCTTGCTTCTGCTGTTGACAATGAGCAAAACTATGTAAGATTATCCAGCATATCTTGAAATAGCAAACAAGTTTTTTTTACAATTTTCAACGTAAGGTGGTGATCCTCCTAGATTTCTTATACTCTAATTTAATTTCATAATCATCTGATTTTAGGTCACCTGCAGTATATTTGTTGCCTTTTGTTTTACACTTTCTTAGAGAGCTGCAGGCACAATTTGAATTTTTTTAATTTGTAACTTTTATAATTTAAGAAAGATGTTTGGTACTGATTGTGCCACTTACATATTGTACTGTAATGGATAGGTGTTGTTCTGTCCTTATTATCAGCTCGAGTTTTACCACAGTAAATGGTTGGAAATGATAGGAATTCAGAGTCTTTGTCCATAAATATACCTAAAGGTTTGTTTCCTTCTCTTGATGCAAAAGTTATTATCTTTTTAACATTTTCAGTCATATCTGGTTCTTGTAATTTAGTATCTGTGACACCTGAAGTTCTCTCCTCAACTTCACACCATTCATCATTACCGAAAATTATTGTGTCTTTGAGTAGCCTTAGAAATAGTAATTTCAGTTACAGGATCAGTTGAATGTTTTCAAGAGATGTGACCAACTGGTCTTATATTTGTAACCGATGCAAACCCTAGATTAGATTCCATAAAGTGGATTGTGAAGTTTAATGCATCTGCAACTACTTGTATAACAAGTGCTTAGCCCATGTACCCTGGTGTGACATATTAGCTAAATACCTTGACCATAAATGGTCTGTACTACTTTTGATGAATCTCTCTGAATTGTTTGTGACATTACGAACATTCATGTGATAGCTAGGTTCACCATACAACTGATGGGACACAACTCTGAAGAAACAATCACCTGCACCACCAACATCTTATATTCTCAAGCCATGTTGAGCTAATCGAGATTGTAAAATAAATTAAGATGGTTTGGATTATTTCCCTGAATAACAGGACCCGGGTTTAACTCGATAACTCTTGAAGTAAGTAACTTTGCCCTTGAAACAAAATACTTGTGATTTCGTTTCTTACACTTTATTGAACAACATTGAACATCAGGTACAAATTCATCATGAAAAACAAATGATACTTCACATGTCTTTATGCTTTGCAGTTCTTTTTTTGAAAACATAAACACAATCAAAAGAAAAATACAACATTGAACCTTGTGCACGAGTGATTTCAACTGGTTTACATCTATACAGTCTGGTTTTAAGATAATTACGGTAATCAAACGATAAAATCGTTTGACGAATGTGGTAAACTTAGCACAATACTAGACCTTACATACCTCCTAATTGCTTTACTCTTGTTAAATAAGTTCAGAATTTTCTTCCTCGGTAATCTTGATGGTTGACTATCACGACGGACGCCTTTGCTAATACGATTGGACCTTGACCTACTTCTTCGTTCCTGTATGATTTCTGTTGCCATCAGATCAGTCTTCTGACTGCGTTTCGTTCTGCTTGGCCACAAGAGTGTTTTGGTCGGATATTGTGGACTGATCAGTTGTGCAACTCATGTTTGTAATGGCTTTGTTCAACCTTATGTTTGATTCTTACTGTTGATACGAGTGCTCATAGGTTCCCACGTGAGTTCGATCAAAGTTTTGCTTGTAAGATTCACTCGTGAAAGGCTCACTATTTTTAAACCCACTGTGCGCCTGAAGGATCGACGAGCAGACGTTCCGAGGGGTCAAAGACTCTTCGCATTCAGCGTCTATACAGCTAACTACCATGTGCTTACTACGACGAGTATTGGTCGAAACTTTCTCGAAGAAAAGACGAATGCTAATTCAACGTCGCGGCATTTACTTCGGAAAGTCAACAGACGCGTCCCAGATTATTTCGGAAAGTCGATAGCAATTGGTCTGCCGTTGACATATCGACCTGTTTACGTCTGAGTGAGTGATATACAGTATTTGCATATTCTGACCCCTAACAATAATCTTTTCTACGCTTCGCGTATCCACATTCATCTCTCTCGCTCACGATACGGTACAATAGTTAGATTTGAAAACAGCCAAATTCATATCGGCGCTATATAAGTATTATTATTTCCTCTTCTGCTTATGCGTATAGATGCGGTCAGATTCTTACAGAGCAAAGGGACAATCGCCATTCAGGTACTAAACATAAGAGTTTCGTTTCTTTCTGTTTTTATCTCATAATAGTTTAATTCATCTCTCTCGCTCACTATATGGTACAAAAGTTAGATTTGAAAGTAGTCAGCATTTTTTTTCGATAGGAAATTAGTTTCCTAGATGTGGACAGATGGCAGTCCTTTCGATTAAACTATTTTTTTTTTTATCTGTTACCACAATATTTATTCTAAACTATTGTAGCTTCCGGATTAAAGTTCTGTAATTCGATCATTTTATTTGTTTTCTCTGTTTTTGTGGTTTTTATTTTGTCTTTAGGTGCATTTGCCGCGTATTTTGAGAAACAAAGGACACGAAAAAAGTGAAAAATAGACAATTTTTTTACATAACGCTTTATATAATTTCTCAGAATCAAATTTCTCCTTACCAATATCAGTACATTTTCAAAGAAAATGTTGTTGAGAATTTAAGAAATTGATCGACATCGAAAAGATCGAGTCCATATTTTTCGTGAAACTCAAATAGCAGTATTACCTTCGGAATAATAAACAAGAGTGTATGTTTTGGAACGGTATTTTACATTAGAGATGCTAATTTTACCGAAAGGGAAACATGTTCCTTGTAAGTTGTTCAAATGTAAATTTGAAAGTCCAATGACATCTGAGAAAAAAGACATGAAGCAGTCAGTCTGTAAACGATAAACACTTATATTCACAGAGTAACGGACATAATCGTTAAAAAAAGTTTACTATTTCGGATTTTGTCAGGTCGTCGCAGAAGCCTTGTTCAAAAATGTTTGTTCTGATAAGAAATCGAAAAAAACAAAACAAGAAGAAAATGTATGCTGAATTAATAATTCTTTCTACATGTCACCTGTCATTGATCAAAATAAAAAGGAAAAAAAGACTTTCAGTCGAAAATTTTGTTTAAAAAAATTGGCCGACTCTATGTAGATGAAATTAATATAAAAATTGGTTTCTTATTAGGTGAATACAAGCATTTAACTTATTTCACAAATGGCTTCCTTAGATACATATATTACTCCACACTTTAAAACGATGCAAAAAAAAATCCCATTCATAAAGCTCTTTTAATTAGTTTTTCTTTCTATTTCGTGTTCCTATTTTTGTAATCTAAGTATAACGTAAGATTTCACTATGTGTTTATTACTCTTTCTTGTTGCTTTTTGCGACCATAGATAATGACTTTTCTCTCCATTATCAAAAAAATTTTGAAGGCTTAAAAAAATTAACAGCATTCAAATTCAATTTCTATTTGAATTCTGAATTCAGAAGAGTCATCCATCAGTCATATGGGCGCCAGGAATTAATATATATATTTTTTTAAGTTGATACCAGCTGACATCGGGCTTGGTAAACAAAATACGTTATTCCAATTTCAGTTTTTTCTTGTCTGCTTGAGATCAATTTAATCCTAAGAAGAAGTCTTAAGCTTTATGCTAAAATAATTTTTTCAAAGAGGGGTCAACTCTCTCAACATATCATCACTTTTCAAGGAACCAAATATCGAGAAAAACAATATTTACCATCCAGGAACTATTCAGAATCAACCGTATAATAAACGATCCTGATGTTTTCGATCTTGGTCGCAAACTACGTAATGAACCGAACATACAAGAGCGATATAATTAGAATTCCTATGTTGCTTTGGCCTGAACATTGAATTGTGTCAGGATTAGAATGATACTTTTTGTTGTAGATGGAAATGAGTTTATCGTCCCATACTGTGTCTAAGATTTAGTTGTTCTGTCTACACGCAACGCGGTCATTTCGACAATTACTTTCTTTTTTTCTTTGAAATCTAATATGGTCAATCCTGCGATGGACCCAGCTCCAAACCCGCAGTATGCATTTTTGAACAGAACCTCTAACCCGTGGAGCCCAGTAAAAGGTGCACCGGCTCCATACATTGCATGGAGGAGAGATGATGTCGCTGTTCAAAATAGTATCAACATAACATTTCAGCTTAAAGCTAGTAACTTCGGAAAACAACGTGAATTACAGATACGAGGTAAGAGGAAACTGAGAGATATTAGAAAGGCACATCATTAAATAGTTTAAGAGTGATTGGCTCAAGAATAGGGCTTACATGTGGTATTTAGTCACTTTACTCGATCCTCTTTTTAAACTAATAACGCGCATGTCTTAAACCATGCGGAGTTAATTCCCATCGAGTAGTAAAATATCGAAGTGAAAAATGGGGGATTTGCTTTCTTGGGGTAACCAAAAAGTGCAATAAGTTGTCAAGCTACGCTAACTAAGAATCTAAACTGTAGTTGAGTTTTATCTTCAAATTTAAATAAAGGTTGCAACACACAAAAAGCTGAAAACAATCTATATAACATCACTGAAATAGAATGAAAAAAGTCTAGTTTAGTTCGTCTGCCGCCGTCGCGACAGATTTAGTTTGCTCTACCTTTTCGATTTAACTAGTGTGACGATTGACAAGTGAGTGTTTGACTCCAGTTTGACAGGTACGGGTTAACGTCATGGCAGATCATTGTAATGTGTTTTGGGGCAAGCCATGGTCAAAAATAGATACAGCGAAACTACCAAACTACGAAATATGTTGATGAAGTTCCCCGCGATGGGTAGTCGTTCCACTCAAGTGGAGTATCATTACTTTTAGTAACTCCACTCTTCAGAAAGTGGCAAAAGATATGGCGGTAATTGATCATTAGGCTGGCGAGAGTAATCTATGATTCAAGATACGGTTAGAAGACGCGAGCTCATCAACATAATCATGCAATGTTCAGCAATAATCTTCCTTTAATTTCCAAGTAAAAGGCACTAAAATACTTTATATTAAGGTTTCATGGAAGTATTGGGTCGATGACTTATTAGCTTTATTAATTGCTCTCTCTATATATTTCCTAATAGCTTTGACAAAGGAGAGATTAAACGTTAAGTGTCATTCTTATCGTAACGGTT